TGTGGTGATGAGGAATCAAACCCAGGGCCTCATACATGCAATATAAGCACTCTACCACTGAGCCACCTTCCCAGCCCCCCACTGGAGCTTCTTGAGGGGGAAAAAAAAAACTTTGTTTTATCAAGAATCGTGTTTTATCCAACACTAGCTAGAACATTACAGATGCTAAAAGTATTTTTTTAAGAAATGATTTGATTGATGTGAAGCTCCTAAGCATCCGAGTGTTTGATTTCACATTCCACTGCTCAGTAGGTAAATAGGGCTCTTTTCCTTGTCTTCAAGACTTAAATGTTTGCGGCTATAAAGAAATCAGTTTATCCAATTATGTGGCATTTCTTAATCATCTTTCCAGGGCAGTTAGCTGGCATCCAGTGCAATTCTATGAACCATTGTTGGCGCAACTCATGCCTATAATCCCAACTACTAAGAAGCTGGGATCTGAGAATCCAGGCTTGAGGACAATCTGGAGAGACAAATAGGGAGACTCTCATCTCCAATTAACTAGCAAAAAGTCACAGCTGTAGGCACATTTCAGGTGGGCTTGTAATCCTAGGTACTCAAGAGGCTGAGATATGAGGATTGTGGTTCAAAACCAGCCCAGGCAGAAATGTTTGTGAGACTCTTTTCTCCACTGAAAGAGCTGGAAGTGGAGCTGTGGCTCAAGTGGAGGAGTGCACTAGCTTTGAACAAGAGGCACTCAGGGACAGTGCCCAGGCCCAGAGTTCAAGCCCCAGGACTGGTACAAAAAAAAAAAAAAAAGAAGAAGAAGAAAAAAGAACATGCTCCTTGGTTTCAGCAGAACAACAGACACTGATCGAGATGCATTGTACTGATTATCTGACTTGTTGTATTTATACCCCTATGTACAATGCTGCTTGTTTCTAGGCCTCACGTTTCTCTGTACCGGGAGGAGCCGTACTTTCATTCGGCAGCTCCAAGGATAAAGCTCCAAGAATGGGTTTAGGGCCCTGGATGGTTACGACAGCCTCGGTTAGGCCCCCGGGATCGCCTGGGCCCCATCCTTCTGGGTCCCCTCCTCACTCGCTTCTCCACCCAGCCCGCCGACGGCAGCTGGGCCCGACCCCCTGCTGTCTCGCGGTGTCGCTCTCTCTTGCTCTCGCTCGCTCGCTCGCGCTCTCTCTCCTCACCCCCCCCCCCCCGGGAACCTTGTGCGCGCGGAACTCGAGTGCAGCGCGTGCGGGTTCCGGGGGAGCCACCCCGGCGACGGGGCGGCGGAGGTAGAAAAGCGCCGGACGCCGGGCTGATCATGGACGCTTGACAACCTGCGGGCAGGCTCCGGGAGGCCGCGCCGGCGACCACGACGAGAGGACCAGAGAGACTCGCGGGGACAGGTAGAGGGCGTGGGGAGGGCGGGCCGTGGGGCGAGGTGTGGGTCTCGGCAGCCTCTCGGGCTTCACGGACACCACAGAAACCCCGGTGGCCCCGCCCCGCCCCCGCCCGGGATGGCGCCCCGGGCTCCGCTCCGCCCTGCCGGACCCCCACCCCTGTCCGCTGCCCTCGGCCTCCACACCCCATCCCCACCTCTGTCCGCCACGCTCGGCATCCGACCCCGACCCCCACCTCTGTCCGACGCCCCTCGGCCTCTGACCCCAACCCCCCCCCCCCCGCCCACCTCTTTCCGCCCCCCTTGGCCTCCTTTCCCAGACCCTCTCCTCTGTCCGCCGCCCTCGGCCTTCCGACCCTGACCTCCACCAATGTCTGCCGCCCTCAGCCTCCTTACCCCGACCCCCACCTCTCTGCCACCGTGGGTCTCCGATCCTGACACCCCCATCAGCTGGCGACCCTCGGCCTCCGAGCTGCCCCCAAAGCCTGCCTTTTTGTCCTCCTCCTATCCACCCAAGTAGCGCCCTCTCCTGTGGGGAATTTATCTCCATCCCCTGGCCTCGGGACCCCACCCCCACCCCCACTCCAGGAGAAAGTGACTGCCGCGATCTTACAGGCTTCCGCACAAGCTTTGCTCTTGCCTGAGATCTTTTGGAGGCACCGAAATTTCTCCCCATTTCTTGCCTCCTCTTCACCCCTAACACTCCTCTTTTTGTCTCTTAGCTGAGATCCTCCTTTGTGTCTTCAGACAAATATCCATTTGAGCCAGTTATTCCTTCCTTCTTTCCTGTCCACCATCCCCACCTCCCTGGCCTCCTCCTCCCTTCCCCCTCTACCTGTCATTCTCTCACCTTTGCTTTCTCTTCGCTCCCCAGAACACTTTATTTTCTAGTACTTCACTTTTTCTGTCTCTGACAGGACTTTATGAGGTGATCTATGTGAGGTCACATACTTGTTTTTCTAATAATGTGAGAGTTGCTGCTCTACAGCTAGTTTCTCTTGTCCAAAGCTATTCTCCTTTGTGTCATTCAGTTATACAAACCTCTTTCCCTTTTTTCTATTCCAAAGAATGTATCATTTATAGAAGACCATATTTTATTATATATATATATGTATATATATATATATATATATACATATATATATATATATTTATTCACTCTTGTTGGTCATGAGGCTTGAACTCAGGGCCTGGGCACTGCTTAAGTTTTTCACTTAAGGCTAACACTCTACCACTTTGAGCCACAGCTCCACTTCTGATTTTCTGTTGGTAAATTGGACATAAGAATCTCATGGACTTTCCTGATGAGACTGGCTTTGAACTGTGATCCTCAAATCTCAGCCTTATGAGTAGCTAGGATTACAAGTGTGAGCCACTGGCACCTGGCTTTTTTTTTTGTGTGTGTGTGTGTGTGTGTGTGTGTGTGACTTCTATAGAAGAGGTGTGCACTCAGCATGCATTAGGTTGTGTATTTGAAGGGCCCTCTGGAACTAAATTGTCTTGGAGATGGCAATACAATATCTAAATTGTTTTTCAAATTCTGTTATTGTTGAGATTTAGTACAAGGTCTGAAGTCATTTGGTAAAATGTCACAGGTCAGTGATGGAGGGATTTTCCCCATAGACTTACTCATGTATTTTTTTAAGTTTAAGTGTGTTATTCCTTATTACTCACAATGACTTTTTTTCATTTTCCTATGCTTAAATGTTTCTCTCTCTCTCTCTCTCTCTTTCCCCTTGTGTTGCTAGGGGTGGAACCCAGGGCTTTGGGATTGCTAAGCATTACTGTACCTCTGAACTACATATACCTCCAGTTCTTATTTTATTTTATTGTTCTTCATCTTTTTTTTTTAACCTCCAGTTCTTTTTTCTTTTTTCTTTTTTATTCTTTTTTTTTTTTTGGGTCCGGTCATGGGGCCTGAACTCTGGGCCTGGGCGCTCTCCCTCAGCTCTTCAGCTCAAGGCTAGCGCTCTACCACTTGAGCCACAGCGCCACTTCCAGCTTTTTTCTTTTTGCTTATATGGTGCTGAGGAATCGAACCCAGGGCCTCTGGCATGCAAGGCATGCACTCTACCACTGAGCCACCTTCCCAGCCCCCTTTTATTCTTTTTTATATGTTTTTTATTGTAAAAATACTGTACACTTACATGAGTAAGGTAATAAGTACATTTCCTATCGAGCATTGTTACCTCCTCCTTTGTTTTCCCCCTACCATCCCTTCCCTCTCCACTTCCGCAACTCTTCCCTCCCCACCCTTACCTCCAGTTCTTAATGAGATTTAATTTTTTTTTTTTCATTGTAAAGGTAATACAGAGGGGTTACAGTTATATAAGTTAGGTAATAAGTACTTTTTTTTTTTTGGTCAGTCGTGGGGCTTGAACTCTGGGCTTGGGCATTGTCCCTGCGCTCTTCAGCTCCAGGTGAGTGCTCTACCACTTGAGCCACAGTGCCACTTCCGGTTTTCTAGTGGTTTTAGTGGAGATAAGAGTCTCATGGACTTACAGGCGTGAGCCACCGGCGCCTGGCTGAGTACATTTCTTTTTTTGGTCCGGTTGGGGGCCTGAACTCTGGGCCTGGGCGTTGTCCCTCAGCTCTTCAGCTCAAGGCTAGCGCTCTACCACTTGAGCTACAGCGCCACTTCCGGCTTTTTTCTTTTTGCTTATGTGGTGCTGAGGAATCGAAACCCAGGGCCTCAGGCATGCAAGGCAAGCGCTCTACCACTGAGCCACCTTCTCAGCCCAAAGGTTACTTTCTTTTTTTTTTTTTGCCGGTTGTGGGGCCTGAACTCTGGGCCTGGGCACTGTCCCTCAGCTCTTCAGCTCAAGGCTAACGCTCTACCACTTGAGCCACAGCGCCACTTGTGGCTTTTTCTGCTTATGTGGTGCTGAGGAATCAAACCCAGGGCCTCATGCATGCAAGGCAAGTACTCTACCACTGAGTCACCTTCCCAGCCCCCTGAATACATTTCTTTTTGTATAGTTTCATCCCTTCCCTCATTTACTTTTCTCCCAGTTTTTCCCTCCTGACCTCCCCGCCCCCATGTTTTGTTTTTAATGAAGTATGATTATTGTCTTTTTAAAATCTATGTCTGGCTTTAGACAATAAATAAGCTGTAACATTGCCCTAAGAAACCCCTATGTTTCTTTAGGTCTTCATAAGCTTTAAGAACTTAGAAGGTAGAGCCTGGCACCGGTGGCTACACCTGTAATCCTAGCTACTCAGGAGGCTGAGATCTGAGGATCATGGTTCAAAGTCAGCCTGGGCATGAAAGTTCATGAGACTTTTATTTCTAATAAACTACTCAGAAAACCAGAAGTGGAGCTGTAGCTTAAAGTGATAGAATGCTAGCCTGAATAAAAAGAGCTCAGGGACAGCACTTAGGCCCCCAAGTTCAAGCCCAGAGGTGGGGGTGGGAGGGAAGAACTTAGAAGGTAAAACCTTTGGAAGGACAGATGTCTTTTACAAAGTGTATTTCAAACTTAAGAAGTAAGGAGAAAGTCCTATTAGCGCCAGGTTGAACTTTACCCATCTCAAGAAATAGTCATTGCTTCTTGACTTGTAGCTGTTTTTTATTTGTGAACACTGTAAAATCCAAGTGTTTTGGTATCTGGAAAGAAGAAGGAAGAATGTCTGACACACTTTCCCTTTTGGACAGATCTCAAGGCCAGAGAATGGCAGGTGAACAGAAACCTTCAAGTAACCTCCTGGAGCAGTTTATTTTATTAGCCAAAGGTACCAGTGGCTCAGCCCTTACTGCTCTTATAAGTCAGGTGTTGGAGGCTCCTGGAGTATATGTCTTTGGAGAACTGCTGGAACTAGCCAATGTGCAGGAGGTAAGAGTGGCTTTCAAACTTTCTCTTGTCTTTTTTTTTTTTTTTTAATTTGTATAGGTTAATTACAAAGTAACCTTCTAAAACATGTCTTCTTCAGTTAGTTGCAGAAAGAAGTTTCCATATAACCTGTCAGTGTATGTACACAATGTATATCTTGATCAGCATCACTCCTTTCATCATTCTCTTGTCATCTTTTCTGTACTTCTCCAGGTTCTCATAGAGTTGCATTGCTGAGTTACAAGGATCTTGTTAGGTACCCTGTTGAGGAATGGGAATTACTTGTCGGGGTACTGTGTTGGGCTCCTTTTATTCAGTATTTTTTCCTGAACTTGGGTCAAATTGAATTGGATTGTTAGCTATCTGAATGATAGTAAAAGTGTCACAGTGCTCTTGAAAAATTAGAAACATAGTGCCAGTTCTGAAGTTTGAACTCAGGCCTGAATACTGTCTCTGAGCTCCTGTGTTCAAGGCTAGTGCTCTACCACTTGAGCCACAGCTTACTTCTGGTTTTTTGGGTAATTAATTGGAGTATAAATAGGCTTTTCTGCCCAGGCTCACTTCAAATTGCAGTCCTGAGTCCTGAGCCTCTTGAGTAGCTAGAATTACTGGTGTGAGGCACCAGCACCCAGCTTGTTTCAAGCATTTTGAAGGACAAAATCTCCAAAGCAATATAGAGAGGGAAGATTGGTTTGGAACACACAGAGCAGACATTACTGCTATTAAGCATAACATGGGCCTGAGTAGGAAAATACTGATGGTTTCTGTGGAAGGACAGTGCTGAAATAAATGAAGTAAATGTGCTAAAAGGCATGTACTTGAGAGAGTGCTCCAGTTTGCTTACTTTGACTGTTGTATCCAGTTTTTGTCATTGCACCTCAAAAATGAGAAGATCTGTTGAATGACCATATGGCACAAAGAGACATAAAGTATCTTACTCTTTTAATCTCTACATGTCACCAGAGACACTTAAAATTTTCTGCATTTCTTTAAGAACAAACATCTTTTCTACTTTGAAAGAGTGCTCGGAGCTCCAGATTTGTTGGTTGGGGAGGTCAATTTCCTCTTTGCCATCAGCAGCCATCATTACGCAGGATGGCATGCTGCACAGCTCTCAGTGTGGTACTGCTGTGCTGGATGCTGCCAAGAGTGGTCTCTGAGTTCTTGGTGGTGCAGGGCTGCACATAGGAGGTGGCTGGCTTTTGTTGGGTGGGTCATCACTTTCATGGTGACCATGCCACCTTTTCCATCAGCTGCTGGCTCTGCTCCCACAGTCAGTTGTAACTTGAGCTGTGGGCCTTCATGTGAATGGGCTCAGTGGCGCTATATGTCTTCTTGTTACTCTTTTTTTTTTTTTTTTTTGGTGCTATTACTGGGGCATGACCTCAAAGCCTGGATGCTGCCCCTTAGCTTTTTTGCTCAAGGCTAGTGCTCTAGTACGTAAGCCTTGGAGGTAAGAATCGCATGTACTTTCCTTCCTGGACTGGCTTTGAACCTCAATTTTCAGATCTTAGCCTCCTGATAGCTATGATTATAGGAAGGAGTTACTGGTGCCCAGCTTGCTTATTCCTCTTAATCAGGAGACTAGAGTAGTACCCCATTACCAGTCCACACATGGCTTTTCTTACTCTGATGGCCAGAGGTGGAAAAAGAGAGCACTTCTATTTTTTAATTACAAATTGGTTTTTCATGTCAGTCTTGCTGGCTAAAGTATTAAGTTTCTTTGGAACTAAGAACATAGTAGGCTTTCAGTAAAAATTTAAATGAATTGTTGAGAAAGATTGGAGAGAACTGGGTTTATTTTTGCAGAAGAGATAACCAAAAGATAACATGGCTCTTTAGACTCATGAAAAGCCCTAATAAATATGCCAGATAGGTGGTTTTTTTTTTTTTTTTTTTGTAACTATGAAAGATTAGCTAAGAAGAAATGGATGGACTTAAAAATGGTGCTACATTATTGATTGAGGATAGTAGGGAGAAGTTTTGGAGTATGTACTCTTGAGAAAAGAGTCTGTTCCAGCTCATTTTGTAATTATCTGAAAAGTACCAGCTCTCTTGCAGTTCTGAGTCAGGGACTACTGGAGGTTTATGTAACCTGAGTAAGTAGACTTCTTCCTGGGGTGCTTAGTAAATCACCTTTATCTCCCCACAGTGTATATTTTTTCATGTGTGAGTTGATTATAAGCTTGTTACCTTTCAGTGGTCTGAAATTACAGATGTAGTTCTGGAACGTGTGTGTGTGTGGCGGGGGGGAGCATGGTGGTCCTGGGGCTTGAACTCAGGGCCTGAGTGCTGTCCCTGAACTTTTGTGCTCAAGGCTAGCATTCTACGAGTTGAGCCACAGCTCCACTTCTGCTTTTTGGTGGTTAATTGGAGATAAGAAGAATCTCATGGACTTTCCTGCCCACGCTGGCTCAAATTTTAGCTATTTTTTTAAAAACAAGCTAAAATTGTGTAGATTTGCCATTGGTATCTTCCCCTTGTTAATTCTGTTTTGGCTTTCTGTTTTGGTAAGTTGGAAGAAAGAGGACCAGCTTGTTTGCAGTTTAAGAAGCAGGCAGTGTAGGTAGGTATAGGTAGGTAGGAGGGCATTTCCAGATCAAACAGTGGTGCTTTTGGGTTTTCTTCTACAGATGGCTCTTTGCCATCAGCATTAGTAAAAAGTAAGTAGTTTTTTGTTGTTGTTTTTTTTTTTTTGCGCCAGTCCTGGGGCTTGAACTCAGGGCCTTGGCACTGTCCCTGAGCTTCTCTCTGCTCAAGGCTAGCACTCTACTGCTTGAGCCACAGTGCAACTTCTGGCTTTTTTGGTACTTAATTGGAGGTAAGAATCTCATGAACTTTCCTACCTGGAGTGGCTTGGGACCATGATCCTCAGATCTCAGCCTCCTAAGTAGCTAGGAGTAAAGATAGATATGAGCCACTGGTCCTGGAAAGTTTTATACTCTTACTTCTTAACCCAGCCTGACTTTTCCATCATACACATACATCTCTCCCAAGGTTCATAGTCCACAGTAGTCCTGAAATGTGGAACTAAGTTTAACTCAGTTTGTGTTAATATCACACCTTGTACACAGGACTGCTCCAATCTTTTTTCTTTTTTTCTTTCTTGTGCAGGTCCTGGAGCTTCAACTCAGGGCTTGAGTGCTATCTCTAAGCTTTTGTTCTCAAGGCCAGGACTCTACTACTTGAGCTACAGCTCCATTTCTTGCTTTTTGGAAGTTGATTGGAGATAAGAGTCTCATGAATTTTCTTGCCTGGGCTGGCTTTGAACTGCAGTCTTCAGCTCTCAGCCTCATCGAGTAGTTGGATTATGGGCCTGAGTCACTGGTGTCCAGCCAGTCTTGATTTGGATACAAAGGGAATCCTGAGAAAACCTGCACTGCTTCCAGTGCTGAGTGCTGTGCATGCACACTGGAGAGAGAGAGACAGAGAGACACAGAAAGACACAGAGAGACACAGAGACAGAGACAGACAGATTGAGAGAGAACATGAGAAAGAAGAGAATTAGAGAAAGAAGAGAGAGATGTTATTTGAGCATATTGTATTTAGTGTAAAACATTTTCATCTTCCCAAGGAAGAATGACTCATTTTGAGACTGTAACAATCTTGTTCACCAAGACACTAATGGTCTGGAAGAGACCTCACAGGCCACTGAAATGTACAGAGTAAACAGTCAGGGGGTCTTCAGCATGTGCTCACCAGTCCTGTGTAACACTGTAGTGATGGGTAGATGTCTGCTCTTGGGTGAACTTTGCTTTTTCTCCTCAGCTTGCGGAAGGGGCTAATGCTGCTTATTTGCAGTTGCTGAACCTGTTTGCCTATGGAACATACCCTGATTACATGGGTGAGTTGGTTAAGGGCCTTCAAAATGCTTGTCTTTACATTGTTGCTTGATTCTGAGGTTCATCAGTGTTGAAGATATAGTGTGTGTATGCACACGCAAGCATGTATGCATGTATGTGTGCTGGTTCTGGATCTTGAGCTTGGGTACTATCCCTAAGCTTTTATGCTCAAGGCTAACACTCTACCATTTGAGCCACAACTCCACTTCCAGTTTTTTGGTGGTTAATTGTCCTACAGACTTTCCTGTTTGGGCTGACTTCCAAATTCGATCTTCAGATCTCAGACTCCTGAGTGGTTAGGATTACAGGTGTGAGCCATTGGCATCTGGCAAGGGGAAGACTTTTGACCTGGTTGTTTCTCATCCTACTGTGCTTCTGTAGGTGACCTCCCAAAAGAAATTGCCCCTTTCCCCTTTTATCTCCTCTGGGTTAAAATGGGGACTTGTATGTCCACCCACAGATAGAGCCCTGTTTATTTCTCAGATGAGCTACTGAGAACTGGTATTTATAAAGCACTCAGCAATGACATGAACTGTTAGCGTACCCACTAGTAAAATATTTCATTGTTATCAAAATAGTTTCTTTTGCTGGGTACCAGTAGCTCCCTCCTGTAATCCAGCTGGTTCAGGAGGCTGAGAGCCCAAGTATCTAGGTTAGAAGCTAGCCCAGGCAGAAAATTCCACAAGACTGTCTCCAGAATAATCAGCAAAAACCCAGGCTGGAGTCACGGCTCAAGAGGTAGAATGTCAGCTGAGCAAGCAAGCTAAGCAAGCATGAAGACTTGAATTCAAACCTCAGTACTGCTAAAAACTAAATATTCCCCTTCCTCCCTACCTCTTTCTCTTCCTATTCCCTCCTTCCTTCTTCTTCCTTTCCCTCCTCTATCTTTCCTTCCTTTGTTTTTTGGGTTTTGGATCTCACTTTGCAGCCAGCCTGTCCTTGAACTCACAGTCCTCCTTCCTTAGCCTCCCAGCTGCTGGGATTATAGAGATATACCACCAAGTCTCCTTATACTCATTTTTAACATTCTGTTATGTACCAGTCTACCATTGAGCCATGTCCCTAGACTTATTGTGGTTTATGTGAGCCTTGTGTAATGATATCAAGGCTTGAAGTCAGATCTTAGTACTCTTGCTGGGCTATTTCACTCATGACTGGAGCTCCTGCACTTGAACCATACCTCTAGTTCAGCTTTTTTTTTTTTTTTGTCGGTCATGGGGCCTGAACTCAGCCTGGGTGCTGTCCCTCAGCTCTTCATCTCAAGGCTAGCACTTTCCCACTTGAGACACAGTACCACTTCTGGCTTTTTCTGCTTATGTGGTGCTGAGGAATCAAACCCAGGGCCTCAAGCATGAAAGACAAGCACTCTACCACTGAGCCACCTTCCAGCCCTCTGTCCAGCTTTTTGACTGGTTACAGATAGAATCTTAGTCACTTTTTTTTTTTGCCAAGGCTGGCTTCCCACCTTGATCCTCAGATCTCAGCTTCCTGAGTAGCTAGGATTATAAATGTGAACCACTGGAACCTTGCACTTTTTTGTGAGTGTCAGTTCAGTCCTGGGGCTTGGTTCAGCTTTTTGGAATCCAGAGACTGTACACAGCTGCTGCTGTGATCATTACTGTGATTGCTGCTTTGGCTCATCCCTCAGGCTCATCTCAAGCTCTACCTCTCCCATGAAGCTTTGCTTTTTATCTCCTGTACGTCTGCTGCCTTCCGCTCCTCCCCTTCTCATGCGTCTTTCCCTCTTTTTTGTCTTTTCCTTTCATTTCCTTTCTCTTCTAATAGTCTCTGTCTCTGATGGGCCTGCCTGTCCACAGCATTTGTAGGCTGTGGACAAGTCCTGGGCCATTGAGTTGTGTGGCTGAGGTCTCTGGAAGTTATGTGCTGCAGTTCTCCATGAGCCCTTGTTCTTGATTCCCCTTTAGAAAGTGCATGCATGTACAAGCCATGCTTAAGGCACATGGCTTTGCAAAGGATTTGGAGTACTGTATTAGCATGATTGTTGGAGCATTTTGTTTCCTCACGCCTGGCTTTCAGGAGGAGCCTAAACTCCTTGTGTGTAGAGACTGAACGTTTTCTTTGGGAGAAGCATGTGATCTTCCAGATAAGGCAGGAGGTGCTCACGGAGCGTTTGCCTGATGAAAAGTGCAGATTCCTGACAGTGATTTCCTTGTAGATGTGGCGGGGAGTGGGTGAGCTCACTCCATAAAAGGAATCCTAACTTTATTTTGTGTCTTGATTTTTGTGGTGGGTGGGACTGAACAGCCAACAAGGAAAGCCTGCCAGAACTGAACCCAGCTCAGCAGAACAAACTGAAGCACCTCACCATCGTGAGCTTGGCATCGAGAATGAAGGTATGGTGCCCAGCCCTTTCCTGTCTTTCTCCCAACCCTGAGTTGGGTATCTCATTGGCATCAGTGAGGGAACTGCCCTCTATACATGGTAGTCATCTCCTAAATGCATGGAATTTACTTGGCAAAGGAAAAAGAGAAATGGTGTACAGACTTATTCCCATTCCACCCAGGAAAAGAAGCATGTCCCCTAGTGATTGCACCAGCAGGTATCTGCTCTGGCCTGGTGTGGGGCTCCTGCAGGGAAAGCATTTGCTGCTGTTTAAAGACTTACTTTGGACTGGGAAGGTGGCTCAGTAGTAGAGTACTTACCTTGCATACATGAGGCCCTGGGTTTGATTCCTCAGCACCACATAAGCAGAAAAAGCTGGAAGTGGCATTGTGGCTCAAGTGGTAGAGCGCTAGCCTTGAGCTGAAGAGCTGAGGGACAGTGCCCAGGCCTAGAGTTCAGGCCCCACAACTGAACAAAAATAAAGAAAATTAAAAAAAAAAAAGACTTCAAACAGCAAACAGCTTATAGCAAGTTACCAGTGTCTCCAGTGCTCAGTGCACAGTGTGCTGTGCCCAGGCTAGTGGTGGGTATTTAGTTAGTTAGATGGTGTGTGTGTGTGTGTGTGTGTGTGTGTGTGTGTGTGTGTGTGTGTGTGTGTGTGTGTGTGTGTGTGTGTGTGTGTGTGTGTGTGTGTGTGTGTGTGTGTGTGTGTGTGTGTGTGTGTGTGTGTGTGTGTATCCATATCCATCCATGTGTCTGAGTCCTGAGGCTTGAACTTGGGGCCTGGACACTATCCTTGAGCTTTTTTGCTCAATGAGGAAAAAGCACTCTACTACTGGAACCACAGCTCCACTTCTGTTTTTTTTTGGTGGTTAATAGGAAATAAGGATCTTACGGGCTTTCCTGCCAGGACTAGCTTCAAACCTTGTTCAGATCTCAGCCTCCTGAGTAGCTGGGATTGCAGGCATGAGCCTTCAGTGTCCAGTTGCTTATTTAGATCTGTCATTTCTGAAGTAGTAGTGATATGAAGTGGATTTGCAGGAAATGGCTTATTTGTTTGTGGCACTGGGGTTTGAATTTAGGGTCTTGCACTTGCTAGGCAGGTGCTCTGCCACTTTACAACACCCCAGCCCAGTTTTGCCTTTTTTTTTTTTTTTTTGTTGGTCGTGGGGCTTGAACTCTGAGCCTGGGTGCAGTCCCTCAGCTCTTCAGCTCAAGGCTAGCACTCTACTACTTGAGCCACAGCGCCACTTCCAGTTTCCTAGTCATTTATTGGAGATAAGAGTCTCATGGTTTTTACTGCCCGGGCTGGCTTTGAACCATGATCCTCAGATCTTAGCCTCCTGAGTAGCTAGGATTACAGGCGTGAGCCACCAGCGCCTGGCTGCCTTAATTATTTTTTAGATAAGCGCTCATGTTTTTGCTCAAGGCTGACCTCAGAGACAGTCTCTCCTCTATGCCTCCAAATAGCTTGGCTCACAGATGTTCATCATCATGCCTAGCTTAGTTTTTGAGATGGGGTCCTGCTTTTTGCCTGGTTGACCTTGAACTGTACTCCTTCTGATCTCTGCTTCCCAAACAGGATTACAGGTGTGAGCCATTGTACCCAGCCTACGTATTTAGATACTTTATCGTCTTGAGTCATGTAGAACATTGATGCAGCCCAGTAGACAACTGTTGGTGGGGATTTGGCTTTGGTTCCAAGAGTCTGAGGAAGCAGGAGCAAGCTTCACGATGCTCGTGGGCTGACCATCTCCACTGGCCATGTGTAGGAAGATGTGCTGGTGGTTTAGTTCTTTTCTGTCATTCTTCTGGAAAGCAGCCAGTTCTCTTCATTGTCCCGGATCTGTTGAAGGCTTAGGATATTCTGGTACTTTCTGCAGACTCTGTGCTTCCAGAAGGCAGCAGAGTGCTTCTTTTTCCTCTGGAAGGAGGGTTTAGGATCTGTAAGAGCATGCTCCAGGTATGGAAGTGAGAGCTGGGTAGAGTCCAGGATGTAGAGAGTCAGGAAGAGGCTTTGGTCTCACAGTTCATTCACCCGTCTCATGGTCACTGTGTGTTAATTATTACCACTGGCCTGCATTGCCCGAGCCCAGAGCAGTTGTTGGCTCTGTGTAATAACCTGAATTTTCATTACTGCTTACCAGGTGGTTTCCGTAACGATGTCACATGACCCTCTCCACAGTGTATCCCCTACTCTGTGCTGCTGAAGGACCTGGAGATGAGGAATCTCCGGGAACTTGAGGACCTCATCATCGAAGCTGTCTACACGGACATCATCCAAGGCAAATTGGACCAGCGAAAGCAGCTGCTTGAAGTGGATTTCTGCATCGGCCGGGACATCCGGAAGCAGGACATCAGGAACATCGTGAAGACACTGAGGGAATGGTGAGGCAGGCTGGGGTGCCTGGCACATCCTTTTTTTTTTTTTTTGTCAGTCATGGGGCTTGAGCTCTGGGCCTGGGGGCTGTCCCTCAGCTCTTCAGCTCAAGGCGAGTGCTCTACCACTTGAGCCACAGTGCCATTTCCAGTTTTTTGGTGGTTTATTGGAGATTAAAGTCTCATGGACTTTCTTGCCCATGCTGGCTTTGAACTGTGATCCTCAGGTTCAGCCTCTTCAGTAGCTAGGATTACAGGCGTGAGCCATCAGTGCCTGGCTGGCATGTCCTTCTTGCCTCTGCATACACAAGCAGGATTTCCAGAAGTCTGCCGAGGGATTGATGTAGGTCTTGGGGCCTTGGGACAATGAACAGGAAAGTGGGACTGTGTTTGTATTACAGCTGCCTGCCAGCAGGAATCACTTCGGGGCTCCTTGGGCCAGAGTTGTAGATTAGTTCTTAAGTTCAGTTGGGGGCTTTTTTACTCGTGGGCGATGACCTACGCAGCATCCTTGCCGTGTGTAACCTGTCCCGCTCTTCCCGGCTGAGCTCAGATGTCAGTGTTGAAGGGCTAAGAGAATCTATGTTCAGAGTCAGTAACATTGGTCTGGAATTTGTGAACTACTGGGAGGGATATTATACATAAGACATTTTTTCTTTTTTTCTGCTTTGGAACATGACTTTCCATTTGAAAGTCTATATCACATGTTAACTATATCACATAGAATATATGATAACTATATATTGATATGTTTACATCCTGCTAATAATTGAGGACCATGTCTGAAATGCTAGCTATGTGGAGGGAGAGATAAGAGCATGACAGTTCAAGGCCAACCTGGGCTGACCCTGTCTCAAAACCAGGCTGGTTTTAGTGGCATAAGCTTATGGTCCCAGCTAATTAGGAATCAGAGGAAGGATTGTGGTCTGAGGCCAGATTGGGCAAAGTAAGCAAGACCTTTTTGAAAAACAGTCTGGCTCAAGTGGTAGTGAGTTTGCAGCATGAGTCCCTAAATTCAGTCCTTGGTACTATAAAAGCAACAAAAAACTTAGCTATACTCTCATTAATGTTAGTGGAATGTGATTGCCTGGGAGTGCAGTTTCATATTCTTTAAAGACTTATAGTTATTTAGCTAAGTTGGGACATACACAGCCAGATGATGTTAGAGAAGCTGTGAGGGCGAGCTGGGGTGGAGGGGAACTGGAGGAGGGAGGGAGTGTCGCAGGCAGGCACATGCGGCACATGCGCGCGCACACGCACGCACGCACGCACACACACACACGCACGCACGCACACCCACCTCACCAAGCAGAGCGGCACGCTTCGTGCACAGGCACAGGGAAAGTGTTTTCTTTACAACTAACTGAATCTCTGGCTTGTCCCCAAGTAGAGGACACTTGGGTATGTACAGATTTTTGTCTGAAGTGTGACCCCCGTACACGGTTGACCACGCCCAGTTTTCTCTGTTCAGTCCCCAATGGCTGGCCAGGAGGAATTATCCAAACTACTGTCTAAGGGTGCTTACCAGGGTAGATTTGTATAACTTCTATTGAGTTATTGGCGCATTGGGTTGGAACAGAATTACTGTGTTGAGCAATACCAAAAAAACCACCAAAGTATGTACAGTATTGAATCCAATATTGCATCTTTTTTATTGGCTTTATTGGGGTTTGAATTCAGAGCCTCAGCCAGGTGCTGGTGGCTCACGCCTGTAATCCTAGTTACTCAGGAGGCTGAGTTCTAAGGACCAAGGTTCAAAGCCATCCTGAGCAGAAAAGTCCATGAGATTCTCATCTCCAATTAACTACCAGGAAACTGGGAGTGGGGCTGTGGCTCAAAGTAGTAGAGCTCTAGCCTTGAGCAAAAGAGCTCAGACAGTGCCAAGGACCTGAGTTCAAGCCCCATCACCAGCACCACCACCAACAAAAAGAATGAATTCAGGGCCTTACACTTGCTAAGTTGGCACTCTTAAACTTGAGCCATACCTCCAGCCTTGGTTTTTGCTAGTTAATTTGGAGATGGAGTCTAGTAATCTTTGTTTCCTCAGGCTGGCCTCAAATCATGATCCTTTAGTTTTCAGCCTTCTAAGTAGTCAAGGATTACAGACATGAGTCTCTGGTGCCCAGCTTACAGTATTCCGTCTGTCTGTCCATCCATCCATCTATTTATGACTGTACTGGGGGCTTGAATTCAGGGCCTGGATGTTGTCTTTTAACTTACTTTGAGCTGTGTCTTCTCTTTGAGCTCTTTAGTGGTTAGTTAGGAGTCTCATAGACTTTCTTGCCCAGGCTAATTACAAACTGCTCTGCTCAGATCTCAGCCTCTAGAGTATGTAGGATTGTAGGTGTGAGCTACCAGTGCCCTGCAAACTTTTTTTTTTTAATTTCAAAATAAAAACGGGAAAATCAGAAAGAGTAGGAGTGTGTGCAATTAAAAGAAACTTCAACTTTTGAGGAAAAGGGCAAGTCCCCAAATAGGAGGCTTTTTAGCCTCCTGTTGAGGAAAGGGAGGGACTATTCAGTGCCATCTGTAGGTCTCTTCCTTCTTCAATCTCAAGAAACTACCCGCAAAGCACCATTTTTATGTTTTGTATTACATATTTAGATCAGTTGATCTTTTGGAAGGGGGAGCAGTCAGAGGTGTTAAAGTAAATCCCATAAGGTGCTGGGAAGCCTTTGGGAGGGGGTGTCCTGAGGCCAAAGACTCGCCGAGTATCCCGGCTGCTCAGGGCTGCTTTCCCGTTGCAGGTGTGATGGCTGTGAAGCGGTTCTGCTGGGCATCGAGCAGCAGGTTCTCAGAGCCAACCAGTACAAAGAGCACCACCACCGGACTCAGCAGCAGGTGGAGGCAGAGGTGAGGAGAAAGAGAGCCTTTGCTTCCATCTTGGGGGTACCTGGTTCTTCCTTTGCACGGGTTTTGTGCCTGTGTTCATTTATCTTCAAAACAAATGGATGTGTATTAAAAACTTTTTTTTTTTTGTCGGTCATGGGCTTCAACTCTGGGCCTGGACGCTGTCCCTCAGCTCTTCAGCTTAAGGCTAGCTCTCTACCACTTGAGCCACAGCACCACTTGTGGCTTTTTCTGCTTATGTGGTACTGAGGAATTGAACCTAGGGCCTCATGCATGCGAGGCAAGCGCTCTACCACTGAGCCACCTTCCCAGCCCTGTATTAGAAACTTTTTAAGCACACAATCAGAAAGGGAAAAATTCAGTGAGTGAAGTAAGATGAAGGTAGGCTGTGAGTGTGGTTGGTGAGGACACTTTTGGCTTCTTGGACATAGGCTGCAGCCTTTATATCCTGGTCATCTGCATTGGTAACACACAGATCCTTTAGGAAAAATCCCTGGTCTTGGTTAGCACTGGAAGTCCTTCTCTGGCAGCTGGGGTTTTGGGGGCTTGAAGTGTTAATGATATTGAATGCTGGCAGAGCCTGTTGCTGTCACTAGATGGCACTAAGGATTTATATTTGAGGGAACGAAATCAGAGGCCAAGTCCATGGCCCCCTCCACAAGTCAAAATAATGTGTGGATTTAATAGTCTTCTAGGGAACTTGGACTAGACTGGTATAGGACGAGAAAGCAGAGCTTATAGCCTTGATGTTTCCCATTGGGTCTGTGTGGTACCAAGTGTGGATGCTAGAGACATACAGAAGGTGCTCACTGTGTGCTTATTACATTAGAAAAGAAAACAGATTTACAAAAACCAAATTTAGCTGGGCGCTGGTGGCTCACACCTGTAATCCTAGCTACTCAGGAGGCTGAGATCTGAGGATCGCGGTTCAAAGCCAGCCGGGGCAGGAGAGACTGTGAGACTCCTATCTCCAATAAACCACCAGAAAACTGGAAGTGGCGCTATAGCTCAAGTGGTAGAGCGCTCGCCTAGAGCTGAAGAGCTGAGGGACAGCGCCCAGGCCCAGAGTTCAAGCCCCACGACCGACAAAAAACAAAAACAAAAAAAACAAAAAAACCCCCCAAATTTAATCCCGTTATATCGTTAGTGCAAGTAAAAACTAGTACACTTTTCAGAATGTATTACATATAGGTTGAACATCCCTAATGGATTTAAAAACTCAATCCTAAAGCCCTTCAGAATTGGAAACCGCACGCGCGCGCGCACGTGTGTGTGTGTGTGTGTGTGTGTGTGTGTGTGTGTGCGTGTGCGTGTGTGCGTGTGCGTGTGTACGTGTGCATGTATGGGTGCGCACATGTACATTCCAGTACTGGGTCTTGAACTCAGGGCCTGGGCACTGTTCCTGAACTTTTTTTAACTCAAGGTTGGCAGTCTACCACTTGAGCCACAGCTCCACTTCTGGCTTTTTGGTAGATAATTGGAGGTCAGAGTCTTACAGACTTTCCTGCCTGCACTGGCTTCAAACTGCAATCCTCAGCTCTCAGCCTCCTTGAATAGGATTTTGCCAGGTACTGAGGAAATCTGAAACTTTTTGAGCCTCAGTAAAAGCTATGCAAATCTTATCTTACAAAATCTGCAAAGCTCTGAACTCTAATAGCCTGTAGTCTGCCCTTAGAGCAGTGCTGAGCAGTGTGGAGTGCACAGCCGTTCTAGAGCACTCCCTTGTAGCAGCCACATCTTCCTCGGGCACTACCCAGGATGAAGGGAGCTCAGGGCTGTGCATTCAGCCACCAAAAACCAGACTGGGAACTAATTTGAAAACTATTGCATACATGTGATGCAGTAGTACCAGATGGCATGGAGAATCTGTGTCAGAATGGAAAAGTGTTCAGAAGTTGCTTAGATATTTTTTGAGTCCCTACTTGGTTGACTGAAAGAAAATAATCCCCCTTCTACTCTCCTCCCCACCAGTCATGGGGCTTGAACTCGGCCTGGGCGCTGTCCCTCAGCTCTTCAGCTCAAGGCTAGTGCTCTTGAGCCACAGCACCACTGCCAGTATTCTGGTGGTTTATTGGAGATAAGAACTTCATGGCTTTTCCTGCCTGGGCTGGCTTCAAACTGTGATCCTGATCTCAGCCTCCTGAGTAGCTAGGATTATAGGCGTGAGCCACTGGTCCCGGCTTTTTGTCATTTGATTTTTGGCAGGTCTCACCGTCTGGCCTAGGCTGACCTTCAACTCGCTGTCCTTCTGCCTCAGCCTTCTCTGTGCCGGCATCTCCGCTGTGTTTTACCACGTGTGGCCATTTGCAAGTGTCTTCTTACATTTTCTTCATTTGCCCGTTGTCAGAATGCTATTTTCTAGTTGTTTGTTCAGAGAGAATGGTGGGGTTGTGTGGTGTGTGCTCTGGTGAGGATATTCGTGCCTCTGCACGTGGCGGTCACAGAGCCCAGAATGCTCGGATCATCCCTTCTTTGTGGGGGTTGCAGCCGCTGCTGTCTGCCCCTGCATTCTACCTGTCACCCGGACCACTTCTGCCTGTTTTGACCAAGAAAGCACTGTTCCACTGTTTGCGCGACTCATCTCGGTCTTCCTGCGGCAGCCCTGCGCGGTCCTCCCCTATCCTGCTGGGGAGCGGCCTCCTTACTGTGAGTGTTGGCGCTGACCCCCTCCCGCTTCCCCCTCCAGGTCACCAACATCAAGAAGACACTGAAAGCCACCGCCTCATCGTCAGCTCAGGAGATGGAGCAGCAGCTGGCCGAGCGGGAGTGCCCCCCCCACGCCGAGCAGAGGCAGCCCACCAAGAAGATGTCCAAAGTGAAAGGTCTGGTCTCCGGCCGCCACTAGGGCTGGCTGGGGCAGGTGGGGAGGGGACACCAAGAGCCTCTGTCCTCCCCTCTCTACCTGCAGTGAGTGCCAGACCCGCCCACCCCCCTCACCAGCACCTCCCCACCAACCATGCACCCTCCCCTCCTCCCCCCCTTCCTCTCCACATGCTCCCTTCAGACTCAGGGGCTCCACGGATGCCATCCTCCGTCCTCACGGGTCGGCCCTGCCCGCCTTCCCTGCAGGAGGTTCTTGTCTCTGTGTTCTTTTGCTCAGCACATAAGCCGGAGGCAGCTTTGCCCGGCCTGGGGATGGCTGCAGAGGAGGCCCCACCTCGTTCCTTTCCAGCCCCCATTCCACTGTCCCCACCATGGTGCAGGCATCTCTAGCCAGGAAGCCACGTGCGCTGTTCCGTCTCCTGCCTTAGCCCTGTGGGCAGCTCTCAGTCAGGCTGTGGAGGGACGCGATGCTGGGCTATGTTTACTAAACCTGCGGGTTTTCAGCCTCTCTGAGCCTGGCTCAATCTGTCGTCAGTGGGCAGTGCTGGCTGACTCACCTCTGGTATCTGAGCACTGACGGAGGGAGCTGGGGGTCCCCCAGATGGCAGAAGTTGTTTCCCCCAGCCCGATGTCCTCTGCTGGCCACTCTTCCTGGCCTCTGACTGCTCAGCCTTGCGGGGCTGCCGCCAGCATCCGCTCTCGCGAGATCTTCCATGCCTCGTGGCGGGGCCTCGGTCTGGCGAAGGACTCTGCTGCTCTGCCCCCCCCTCCCCGCCTCACCGGCGACCCACAGCCCCGTGATGACACCGTACTCCTGGCCAGAAGAAGGACTTGACTAGACTTTCAGAATTCGAACAGTTTCAGGTTATATTTTAACTTTTTTTTTGTACAGGTTGATTCTAATACATTTCAACATGCTTTTTCCTCCTCTGTGTCAATATTTGTTAGAGACTGATGGCCAGGGATTCACTCCTGGTCGGAGGGTGGCATGCGTGTATGTGTGTGTGTGTCTCGTTTTGTTTTTACGAGGGGAGGTGGGCATCCTGGATTGATTGAAAGCTCACTGAGGAAAAAGCACATTCTAGAACAGAACAATAAACGTGTAGATTTGCTGTACATGACTGCAGAGCGGACTTGCGCAGATGGTGGATCTGGGGGCAGGGCCTGGGCTGGCTCGGTGGATGCTGTTCAGTTCCATGGTTTAAAGATGTGGTGTCTCCTTCTTCTAAAATGGGTGCCTGGCACTGGTGGAGCTCAGTGCTCAGTGTCCTTCAGTGTGCTCCCGCCAGCCCTGGGGCCACACCGCACTACGCCCGGCTGGGGAGTTGGCTTCATCCCAGCGTGTAGCCCGCATTCACGTGCTCTGGCACGGACCGTTGCTGAAGCCTAGAGCCTCACCGGAAGTTTAGTACCATGGTCCCGGAGAAGTCCTGGGCATGATGCCAGTGCCCACACTCATTCAACCACAACCACCAAGGCATTTTGAGAATGGATTTTTTGTTTGTTTTCCCTCTTATCCTGGGCTTGAATTCAGAGCTTTCACACTCACTGAGTTTTGTTTGTTTGTTTGTTTTTCTCAAGGCTAGTGCTCTACCATTTTAGCCACAGCTCTATTTCTGGCTTTTGGTGATGAATTGTAGATAAGAGTCTCAGGGATTTTCCTTCCTGCACTGGCTTTGAACCATGATCTTTGGATCTCAGCCTTTTAAGTAGCTAGCATCACAGGCATGAGCCACTGGTACCCAGAGAGAATTGATGTTTTTTGGTGGGATATATTTTGGAGAAGTTTTGGGAAAGGTGCACAGACACACACACACACACACACACACACACACACACACACATTTGGTACTCAGTGCCAGGTGCTTTCTTGCTTTTTTCACCCAAGGCTGGTGCTCACAGACAAACACACACACACACAGACACACACACAGACACACACAGACACACACACAGACACACACACACACACACACACACACACACATTTGGTACTCAGTGCCGGGTGCCTTCTTGCTTTTTTCACCCAAGGCTGGTGCTCAACCATTTGAGCCACACCTCTATTTCCATATATTTTTCAAAAACCCTAACAGAAGTTGGACATCTCCCAGCCTCTTACATGTTTCCAGCTATTTCTAGATCCTAAATAGGCAGTCTCGGACAGCCGAGATGCCGTGCTTGGCTGTCTGATTTGTACCCTCCCCAGGATCTTCTCCACAGCCCTGTTGTCTCCTGGAGATGACAGCATTGGGAATATACGTGGTGAAGTACTTGACACACTTCTCCATCTTAGTACAGACTTCCTCGCTTCATGTACGAGGGAGTCAGAATCCAGAGATTTGGAGTCCTTGACGGTAAGGGATGAAACAAGGTCTCCTAGATTCTGCCCCTCTTCCCCTCCCGCCCCACTCTGGGGCCCTCCCCTGCCTTCCGAATTCACCCAGCCATTTGACAAGGAAGCAGAAGATTCACAGCTAGAGGCTCCAGCAATGGGACATGGCCAGTTGGGACTGGCAGAGGCCTGGCCCTGAGCTCTGAAGTTCTCACCTCAGACACTAGCAGATGACAGATGTGTACAGGTACAAATGTCAGAAGATGTGTCTTGTTGAGCATAGTGGCACATGTCTAGCTTGCCTAGCATGCATGAAGCCCTGGGTTCAATTCCTCAGTACCACATGATCAGAAAAAGCTGGAAGTAGTGTGATTCAAGTGGTAGAGTGCTAGCCTTGAGTACAGAGAGGCTCAGGGACAGTGCCCAGGCCCTGAGCTCAAGCTCCAGGATTGGCAAAAAAACAAAGAACACCCCCCTAAAATAAAAATCAGAAGAGCTATCTTCTGGTGCATCTGGGGGGAGGAAACACGGGGGTGTGCCTATGCGTCGTCCTTGTGTTCCTGAAGCCTACTTGCTCTACTCTGTTGTGGTGAGACTATGGGTCTTCTTGGGTAACATTAGGAAATGGTCAAAGCCATTCCAGATGGTTCTATCCCAAACCCGAGATGATCACCACCAATAGTAAAGGCTCTTTTCCTAAAGTTGGTGAGCCGGAACATGGGGTGATGAACAAATGACATGAAGAGGTCAGGCTGCACGTGAGGTGATAGAACTGGCCCATGAGGTTGTCTAAAATGAAAAGGAATGTTCTTGGCACAGCAGATGACCTTAAGGACTTTCCTTATTTGTTATGAGCCAGGCAACTATGAACTGTCAGTAAGATGCTATAGGAACAACTCGCAAATCTGCACTCATTAGCAGTCATCAGTATGCATCATTGATGCATACATCCAAATTCCCTTTCTGTGAAACTTTGATTCTACTTATTGTATGGAGGATTAAACCCAGGGCCTTTTGCATGTTTTTTTTTTTTAAGGAATGTTCTAGCTTGTGTATTTCTAGCTTGTGTATTTATAGTTGTCAGACTTTTTTTCCTTTTCTCTTTGGTACTGAGCCTGAGTCACAATTGTTAGGCCTGCTGGAATTCATAGGCATGAGCCACTGTCCAGCTTCTAACTGTGGAGATGGACTCTCAAAGATTTATGCCCAGGCTGGCCTGAAACCACAGTCCTCCCAGCTCAGCCTCCCACCTAACATAGGATGACAGGTATGTGCCACTGTGCCCAACTGTGGGTTGAGATGGAGTCTTGAAACCTTCTCTTGGCTGACTGAACCATGACCCCATAATCCTCCTGTTCTCAGCCTCCCAAGAAGCTAGGATTACAACTGTGAGCCCCTGGTGACTTTTTGTGTTTTTGCCCGTGCGTGCGTGCGTGCATGCGTGCGTGCGTGCGTGCGTGTGTGTCCGTCCTGGGGCTTGAACTCAGGGCCTGGGTGCTGTCTCTGAGCTTTTTTAGCTCAACACTAGTGCTCTACCACTTGAGCCATACTTCCACTTCTGGCTTTTTAGTGGTTAATTGGAGATAAGAATCTCACAGACTTTCCTGCCTGGGCTGGCTTTGAATTGTGATCCTCAGACCTCGGCCTCCTGAGTCGCTAGGATTACAGGCGTGAGCCATCAATGCCTGGGGCTTTTTAAAGTTTTTTTTTATTGATGCAATTTTAGTTTTATAAGCAAACATAAAAAGTAATACAGAGAGCCGGGCGCTGGTGGCTCACGCCTGTAATCCTAGCTACTCAGGAGGCTGAGATCTGAGAATCGCGGTTCAAAGCCAGCCCGGGCAGGAGAGACCATGAGACTCCTATCTCCAACAAACCACCAGAAAACCGGAAGTGGCGCTGTAGCTCAAGTGGTAGAGTGCTCGCCTTGAGCTGAAGAGCTGAGGGACAGCGCCCAGGCCCAGAGTTCAAGACCCACGACCGACAAAAAAAAAAAAAAAAAAAAGTAATACAGAGAGATTCCTGTACTCTGAGCTCAGCCTCCGCTCATAGGGACATTTTGCAAAGCTGGAACATGGCACGGGATGTTTGCATTGATTCAGTCCTCAGACCTTAGGTCAATTTGTTTGGTTAAGTATATGTGCAGCTATGTTAATTTTTATACAGTTTTAGCACCTGTGTATCTATAAGCACAGACAACACAGCATTTTCATCACCACGGGACCATGCCTGAAGCTCATTTGTTCACTTATCCATTCATCTATTCGTTTATTCACTTAAGTGTTAAGGACTACAGTGAATGAACCAATCAGATGTCTTCTCTGGCTGGTAGGAGGTGGTAAGCAGATGAGAGGGAGAACTGGCCTTCCTGCGTGGCTGGAGGGGAAGCGGGTGCAGGTTTCACACAGGAAGGCCGGCCAGGCCCTTAGCAAGCCAGCTTCTGCTGTGAGCGGGCCTGCTTGGAGCTCTGGGAATGCAATATGATGCCTTGCCTGGGAACATGGTGAGAAGATTCGTTCTGATTATAATTCTCCACCCAATGGTGCCATCATTTCTTTCAGCAAAGTTGTAGAAGCGGAATGCTTGAGATTCAGAGGCCTTGCAATGTTAAGGCCCTTGGTACCTTAGGGACAACTCCCAGAAGGCCCTGCCAGCCTCTGCCCCTCCCATGTGTCTAAGCCCCTGCTCCATGTGGGATCACCCCTCCTGTGGGCTGACAGGGCTGAGCAGCTGCCTGCCCAGGACCCAGTGTCTCCACCTGGCGCTCGCTGTACGGGATCTGTGGTGACGGCCATACGCCCCGGCCGAGGCATCATCACCTTCAGCGTGCTTGCCCATTGGATGGAGGGAGAGTGGCATTTTTGGTTTTTTCTTGGTATGGCGTTTGATTTTTTTCATCAGGAATGTGCTGTGTAGCTGAAGGCTGGCCTTGTTCTTCTTGCCTCAGCCTTTTGAGTACTGGGATTACAGGTATGAACAACCATACCCAACCCCTTCTCAGTATTTTAGCTTGACTTTCTTGAGTTCCCAGTGAAGGCAGTTTGTTCTTCCCTCACTCTGCTGGGCCCTCCCATCTCCAATCAGGAATTGTATAGTTTACTTTCACATAAGGATTTATTTTTGGTCAGCCATGGGGCTTGAACTCTGGGGCTGGGTGCTGTACCTCAGCTGTTCAGCTCAAGACTAGTACTCTACCACATGAGCCACAGCGCCACTTCTGATTTTCTAGTGATTAATTGAAGATGAGTCTCTTGGACTTGCCAGCCTAGGCTGATTTTTGAACTGTGATCCTCAGATCTCAGCCTCCTGAGTAGCTAGGGTTACAGGCGTGAGCCACCGGCACCTAGCACACAAGGATTTTTTTTATGTGACTTGTTCTCTCCCTCTCTCCCTCTCCTTCCCCATCCCCTCTCCCCTCTCCTCTTCCTCTAGTCACTATCTCTCTAACGTTTTAAAAACTGATTTCTACGTACTACCCCAAACAGCCAGCAGAGGGCAGCAGTGCATCATCAGTGCTAAGGGAAAGCAGCTGGAACCAGAGGCTTCAGTGCGTGTTGGGGGCAATGGCAGAGCCTGAAGGACTGGTCTGGAGGTGATTTAGAAACCCAGACAAACTGGCTAACTTCTTTGCCAAAGGCTGTGGTGTGGGCTAGGAAAAAGATGGCCTTGAAAGGCTGAGACTGTGAGCTCCAGAGAGGTAGATGTGGTGGACGCAGCGGACGCATGCCATTTGTAGACTTCTAGGAGTAGTCCCTTAGTCGGAGAACCTTCCCTGTGATGCTGC